ACAGAACTAAACCAGGACTAAAACTAAACAGGACTAAACAGACTAAAACAGGACTAAAACAGAACTAAAACAGGACTAAACCAGGAACTAAAACAGGACTAAACCAGGACTAAAACAGGACTAAACAAACTAAACAGAACTAAACAGGACTAAAACAGGACTAAACCAGGAGTAAACCAAGGCTAAACCAGGACTAAAACAGAACTAAAACAGGACTAAACAGGACTAAAACAGAACTAAACCAGGACTAAAACAGAACAAAAACAGGACTAAACCAGGACTAAAACAGGACAAACCAGGACTAAAAGAGGACTAAAACAGGACTAAAACATTACTAAAACAGGTCTACAGCCCTGCTTATAATACATGACTTTTACATAATCTGTAACTCCAGAATCATTCAGATCACAATTATATTTTTGGTTTGACAGCAAGTTGGGTTTGCTCATATATGTTTTTTATATATTTTTAGGTTCTTCTGGCCCACCGAAGCAAAAGAAGAAGAACTGCTTCCAAAAGATCCTGTCCTGGTTCAGATGTGCCAGCTGTTTCTGCTCTAACACGGTGGAATAACTTAAGTGACGGGGCGTGAAGGGGCACTGGGGTGCTGGGGGGCGCTGTGTAATGGGCAGATTAGGGTTAGGGTTTTGAAGTGATCACTTGGTCACTTTGTTGGATCAGACTGGGGGCTAAAAGAAAATTAAAAATAGCGGGGAGTGCTGTTTATTTAGGCTTGTGTTACGAGACATGGGCGTAAATAAAGGCAGAATTCAGGGCAGGGGGGATTTGCACCGATAACGCGATCCAGTCTGTAGGTGGTCACTTTGTTGAATCTCCTTAGGGGTTAAAACAAGAAAAAAATAGTGAGGGTGGAATTTATTTAGGCTTGTGTTTGGAGACATGGGCGTAAATAATGTGTTAACCCCCTGATGGGTGAAAGAAAAAGAGGGAGGAATGGAAAAAACAGCAGCAAAAAGAGACGACCCCAAGCAACCACGGCCCCCGCTCACGTCAAACAAGAACCACCATGGCGGCATGGTGGCTGAGTGGCTAGCATTCGTGCCTCACAGCAAGAAGGTTCTGGGTTCGATCCCCGGGTATCTGTGTGGAGTTCATGTTTCTCTCCGTGTCTGGATGGGTTTCCTCCGGGCGCTCCGGTTTCCCCCATCAACCCAAAACATGCAAAATAATCAATTAAATACAATTAAATACAATCAAGTCAATCATTGTTTGTCCTTAATGCCTAGTATGAAAGTGGTGTGTGAGTGATGGTGGTGGTTGGAGGGACCGATGGCGCGCTTCTGTCAGTGTGCCCCAGGGCAGCTGTGGCTACAGTAGTAGCTTACCATCAAATGAATAATGCTGAATAATGCTCTATAAAGTGTCTTTGGGGACAGAAAATGTCTTTGAAAAGCGCTATATAAAGACTTACTTACAGCCCCGAGTAAAAAGCCCCCGACCCCGTACACTTGGAGCACCCCCCACAAGAGACACGGTGAAACATCACATCTGTAAAACTCCACGTCCAAAAACTCATGTGGTCTAAATTTAAAAAAATAACAATATTGGAGTGCTACACTGGATCATAAAACTTACGCATACAGGTGCTCATCTTAGGGTCTGCAGCTGTAAACATCTATACACCAAAGTACAGTTATTGTTGCTACAACTGTTGGTTTATTTTACTCTTCCCGGTTTTACAGTGTGTGGTTTAGTTTGTTGAGTCTTCTTTCTTCAGCCCAAAGAATGTTTTACAGTCTGTTATTAATTACACACAGATGTTAACATGCTTATCTTTCTTTATTCATAGAAACATTATACAGCTCAGCGTACAACTTCAGTACTTCAGGCTAGTTGAAGTTAGTTTTGGCTTAGTTGCCTTGCAGTTGAGATTGCTCAACTTTCCAGTACTCTTTAGGACAAAGACTTTTTTACCATCTTTCATTTCTTTGTAAGAGCCCTCAGCTATTTCTGTTATTTTGAACGTCTCGTAAGGGGGAATCAGCACTTCATCCTCATCCAATCTTGAGTAGCTTTTGATGTTTGCACCAAAACAGGTCTCAGTGTA